CATAAATATATATATATATATATATATATAAATTTATTAACAATAAAAATTTTTCCAAGAAAATAATATTTAACGAGATCTTTTTAAAGAGCAATTTTTCATTTTAAGTGATTAAAGGGAACAAGCTGTGTAAATGACAAAATTTAAATATAACAAAGGAAATTTTATATTCTTTATTTTAAAATGCAAACAAAAGGAAATTCGTTTTACTATATAAAGGGTGATTGTTACGTTAGTATATCAATAGGGCAGCAATTTCCTCTAATACACAAGAATGAAGTTCGTCCTAATTGTTACTCTCTTTCTCGTTAGTTTCATGTTCATGACAGCAGAAGACGAGAAAGGTAAGTTAATTATATGCGATAAAATTAAAAATATACATCTAATAATATCGCTAATTTTAATGTAATAGTTTATATAAAAGTTCTCAATAAATTAAATAATTTTTGAAATTTTTATATAAATAGGAAAACAGATTGTAAGTAGAATAATTGTATATATTAAATTTACTGTTTTAATATTAAAAAAAATAATAATAATTTCTGACGATTATAACGTGTTTATATTCATAACAATAAATAAAATTATTATTATTATTATTATTATTAAATTTCAGATACGAAATTGCTGTAAGGAAGCCAAAGAAAAAGTTGGAGATGAATTTGAAAACGTAAATAATTTAAAGAATATTTTTAAATTACAATTTTTAATAATGTCATGTTGAGAAATGAAATTTCATTTTTGTTTGCTTCAATTATTTATCTATGATTCATTTACAGACCATCATTGAATGTTTAAAAAAGACCATAGATGAAGAGGAAGAGGTATGTTAATGATTAAAAATATATGAATATATCATAAAGAAATAATTTTAAAAATTAAGTGTAAAATTAAATATAATTAATTAAAATTCTTTAGAAAGAAGGTGATAATAGAGAAGAGAATAAAGTAAGTATAATCAAAGATTAGAGGTTGGAAAGAAATTAAAATTTTGTCATTTAAAATTCTTAAAATGCATAAAATAAAATTATTTACGAATATTGCGTAAATATCGTACTCATTCGTAATGTTTTTAAAATGAATTATTATTTATTTTTAACTAGAAAACTATGGAAACATATATAAAGAAGGCTAAGGTATGAAATTCAATTCTGGAAAAGTATTTACTGTATTTGTTTTCACAATTAATATAGGTTAAAAATGAATTTATAATTTATATTATTAATACATAATATTACATTAAATTTAAAAAAATAATAATAATAAAATTCGAATTTAATTGTAGCTTGAACCTGTTGACTGTGAAAACGGTGCAGAGGGATTAATGAAAAAGGTAAGTATTAAAATATTATTTATTGTAATGAGTGATTATTAGTTAGGTTTATATTCATTCTGTCATATTTTTAGATGCACATTCTGAAAATAATTTTAAAAAAGTATATAGAAATCGAAACTAATAACCTTCATTCAACTTCCCACACCTTATCTCAGACAAGAAAAAGTGATCTTTGAATAACTTTGATGAATAAGTGCAATGCTAAGACTTATTTCAGCCTTAAGCTATGAAATATAATCGACCCTTTCCCTTCACCAGATAATGCATTTTAAAATACATTTTTAAAATGCTATAGACTCATAATGCGAGGCTGCAGCTTATTTAAATTATTTGCAAATCATGCTCTGAATAACTCTTTCTCACCTGAGAAGATGCTATTTCAGAGGTTCAAATCTTTAATTTTTTCATAAAGTATGGNATATATAAAATATATGCATACAAATAGAACATAAAGTTGTTACATATTAACACTTTTTAAATAATATTACAAGCTTCAGTCTTTGATTTTCCAATTTGTCTTGAAATATTTCTCTTGGTCTTCCTTCGGCTTTAAATATAGCAATTTCACGAACATCCTCTAAGATCTTTACCTTGGGGCATATTGATATGCGTATTAAGTAATACGAAACTTGAGTATGTAAATTAATTTTATTGAGCTCTAATTTCTAAATTGCAGACTTATGAGTTCCCACTGGCATCCGTCTATATGTCTTTCGTAAATCTCGAAAACAGAGTTAGATAGATAAAAGTCGAAGCCAGATATGGAAAGCTTAAGGGCAAGAAGTACCAATTAACTATCTACAAACTTCCGGTCTGGACCATAAGTCACGTGATTTCAATTCAAAATTTTCTCGAGAACAAAGTTAAACGGGTGACCGGCATGACTAAAAGTTATCAGGAAAAGTATGATGTACAGGGGCAAAGCACTTTAAATGAAATAAGACGTGATTAAAACTTTTGTCGATTTTATACTTGTACTTAATTTTTATTATTTTAAATGGAAGTTTTATATTATGTTACGTACACAGTAAGTAACATAAGATNAAAGTTATCAGGAAAAGTATGATGTACAGGGGCAAAGCACTTTAAATGAAATAAGACGTGATTAAAACTTTTGTCGATTTTATACTTGTACTTAATTTTTATTATGTTAAATGGAAGTTTTATATTATGTTACGTACACAGTAAGTAACATAAGATAAAAACCTCCATTTAAAGGAAGATTATAATAATGATTTGAATAAATAATAATAACATTATTTTCTTTATAGAATAGCAAGGAATGAAGATAACAAAAGCATACAATTGTAACAGTATTAAAAATAATTATGAAATAAATTCGTATAGCAAATGAATTATCGATTTAATTACATTTCATGTCCTATACAAAACTATACAAGGCAAATAATTTTCCTATTTACCAAATATATCCCATAGACTCGATATAACGCGATTCGATAACACGCGACATTGTTTATAACGTAGTCAAAATTTAACTTTTAATTTCAAATATTTCTTATCTATTATATTAAAATTATAACTTTTGTATACAATAGTAGAAATCGATTTCTTTTATAATGAAAACCAAAGTTTTGGCTTTCCTCGCTCGCGTTATATCGAAGATCTCAGTATAGTGATATAATATTTAGTATAAGCGCAATTATTCCAGATATTACAGGTTCTGAGAAGTAAAGAATTTTCAGAGTCATGTCACAAATAAGCTACGTGTTGATTATTGACCATTTGTGATATGCCATAACAAGCAAAAACTTAAAAAAAAAAACTAATAAGTAGTTTAAAATTAATAAATACAAATATATTCTCTGACAGTTTATGAGTTAATTATACCTTCTATTTGCAAAATTTCTTCAACCTTAACACAAAATAAGAAAAAAAGTGAATTTTTAAGAAATTTGCGGGATTTCCTGTGTTAAAAAAACAATCGAAATCTCTGGATCCCGTTTGAAAAACCCTAGTTTCTACTGTTATTTTGTCTCATATTTTAGAATGTTTGGACCAAATAATTTAATACCATAGAATCTTACTTTTATACTCGATATACAACTATTTCTTTATATATAGGGGAGATCGGGGCAACTTCGGCATGCGGGGCAAGTTTGTCAAGCGCTTTTTTTAAAAAACAAATTAAAAGGAGACTTTGGTTATAGGTTAGGCAGTTGAGTTTTATTGGTGGCTTGTTGAGTGTAGTGTTTTTATTGTTCTCCAACAAGCGTAGTTGAATTATCAAGCAAATTTTCATTTTCGTTCAATTCCATATAATATTTTTTTTCCATTTATATTGAATTGGCAGGTTTTGTTATAATTCCATGATAACGAAAGTTACTTTTCCTGTTAGAAGGATGTAACTTCAACTTATTCACGTGGCCAGATCGTGGCTTGGCATTCTGTTCTCAGGGTTGTACTTAATGTTTCGAAATCATGACTAGCGGGGTAAGATCGGCAACATAAAGCCACATTAGAAGCAAAGGATAAAAATCAAACAGATGATAAATGAAAACATGTTTGCATTTGTTATTCATGTATATATGTCTTTGAACTTGCATTTCGTTGTAATAATATTAAATGGGTGTTGGATTTGTATTTCTTTGTTTTAATAGTGAATTCCAACTTATACATTGTTAATAACATAATTTTATATACGTGCCTATCTTGCCCCATTACTGTTGCCCCTATACCAGGGGCAACTTTAATAAAAATAATTAAAATAATTACAACTTTACAAAAAGAGAGAAGTTGCCGATCTTGCCCCTATACCCGGGGCAACTTCGTCAATTTCTCTCTTCTTGTAAAGTTGTAATTATTTTAATTATTTTTATTTCCAAACTGATTTTAACCAGTTCTATAGTAAGGTAACATTCCAATAGACAATATGCAAAGCTTTTTTTTCAGTTTACAGCAGTATTTATTACACAAAATTTAAGTAAAGCTTAACATGCCGATCTTGCCCCGATCTCCCCTATTCATTTCAAAATATAAACAAAATTAGAATTTCTGTTTTATATATAAATTTGCTAGAAATCTTTAAGCGTTAAGATCTAAAATTTTGCTAAAATTTATAGTAATTTTATAGATATATAACATAGAATCGCATTATTTCAAATAAAATAACAAATGATTTATGTGTAATTTGTTTTTATTTGTTTAGTACTTAATAATGGTCAGTATATAGAACCACTGGAATACGTGGAAAATAAAACAATGGTTCCCAATTAGTGGTACGCGTAACCCTGGGGGTACGCGAAATTGCATGAAGGGGTACGCGCGGCGATCTAAAATCGGTCGATTTAAACTTTAAATGCATGAGATGAAGAAATCAAAATAATAATGGGTGGACCATCAAAAATTCGGCAATTTACAACATGATGTCGAATGCACAAATTCGTTTACAGTCGACCCCCCTACAACACGGTAGATACGTTCCGTTCTTTACGAAATTGATGTTCTAAGAGTCCTTGAATACATGAGCCAATCACAGCCCGGCACGTGGGCAGTTTACGGACTACGACTGTTTCAAAGGTTTCTTCCATAAAATTAATCGATTCTAGACTAATTCGACTCAACATTTCCAAAATACGTATAATTTTTTGGGAATAATCCATATAAACTATACTATAAACAAAAAATTGTAGGATTACTTACCGAGCGTGCACCGTTCGACGACGCCATTGCTTAAGCTTGTTTCGTCGTGGAGCTTGTCATCGAATGGCGCTCGCGTGCTTCCTGATAAATTATTATTTTTTTGCAAAAAATTCGCTGAACTTTGGCGATATCATTAATATAAATATAATTTTTATGGACGTTAAATAATAAATGGTTTTTAGTAGGTCAGCTGCTCGTTTAAACTCAACGGTTTGTACAATATCCGCTATTGGTCTAGATTCGACCAATCCTTTCGCGAGTCGGCGATGGCGTTTTACCGAATTATAGGAGTTTTTTTAAGCGTGTTTGTACGAATACTGTCGCAATATTTTCGCCGTCATATAGGAATCTGAACTATATGAACCAGCGGCCGGATGGCCGAGCGGTCAAGGTAACAGCCCACTGCTCTGGGGGACCCGGGTTCGAATCCGAACGAGTCGAAAAATCCCCAGGAATTTTTTGGGGGCGGTCCGTCTGGATATGTTGGGCCCCGCCCCTCACCACCCGGCAGCCTTATTGTGGGCCCGACCGAACCCATAATAGACTTGCATAAAGAGGCCCTCATAGTGTCCACAAGGCAGAAAGAGTTAAAAAAACTACAGTAGAGCGTCAATTATCCGAAAGAATTCCGGTCGGCAAATTTAAATTTTTGCCAGTGCTATGGCGCTGCAGTCTTTGGCTACTCAAATATTTTACGTTTTTGATACTAAATTAACTTGTGAAGTATAATTTTTTATTGTTTTTATATTTTTCAATATATTAATTTTGTTTGTACAAAATAAAAAAATAATTTTTAACGATACAATAGTCTTCATTAGGCTTAACATCGACGAAAATTCAACGCGAAGCAACACGCAATGGAGAAAAATTTCAACATGGGATAAATTAATATATTTTTTCGTACATAATTGGTTATCTGAACAACCCCAGTCCCCAACTGATTCGGATAAACGACGCTCTACTGTATNAGCCACGATTATTATTTTAAAAAGTTTACGTTAGGCTTAACGTCGACAAAAATTCAGCGCGAAGCGACACGCAACAGAGAAAAATTTCAACATGGGATAGGTTAATATATTTTTTCGTACATAATCGGTTATCCGAACAACCCCAGTCTCCAATTGATTCGGATAAACGACGCTCTACTGTATATGAACCCGTATTCTGTCCATCTGTCCTTCCTTAATCTCGAAAATGCAGTTAAATAGATGGAATTCGAGACCAGATATGGAAAGCTTAGGTGCGGGAGGGCTCTATTAATTGTATAAGAACTTCCGATCTGGAGCAGAAGCCATGTTATTTCAATCCAAAAATTTTCAGAAAAGAGATGACCCGGCATGACTCTATTCTTAACAGGAAAAGTATGATGTACAGGGTCACGACATAATAAATTTGAGAGCATTGTGACAATGTCACAATAAATAGTAGCTCGTTAAGATTGATATAATTTTGGAAATGTTGAGTCGAATTAGTGTAGAATCGATTAATTTTATGGAAGAAAACCTTTCAATCAGCCGTAGTCCGTAAACTTGACACGTGTCGGGCTGTGATTGGAACGACTTGTAAGAAATCGGATTCCTAATAAATTGGAACGTATCTATATCTTATAGGGGGGTCGACTGTACTAAATACAACCTTAAAATCAGTGAATCCGTAGAAAACATACTAAGGCAAAGCCAAAAAAAAGTCACACCAACACAGGTCATTAAAGATAATTTTCCTTAATAATAGTAACGATATTGTAAACAATATTACATATTAAATAACTTTTTAATTAACTATATTTAATATTACTTATGTACAATTAATTATAAACAGTTATAGTCAATTCCTTAAATACAGGACGGAGCTTGTAAAGACTTTTTTAAGCTCCTCTTAGAAACAAATCAAAAATATCAGATACAAAATAACACAGAGCAAAAAATGGCAGGAACATTATCTACAAAATAAATAAAAAAAATCTGGATAATACATTAATAAAATTTTCCAACAACAAAACTTAAAGATCCGGCAACGAGTTTGAGTAATTATCCTGGCAAAAAAGTTAAAATTGTGTGTCGCGCCATCTGTTATGATATTTTAATTAAATATATAGAACATATATATATAATATTGTGTTTTGTGTAAGGATGGAAATAGAATGTTCTACGTATTAAAATGTCTGAAGAACTTTTGCCTGAAACCATAATGTAAATAATAACGTATAAAATCGTATTGTTAAGAAAATAAAGGTGTAAAACAATATAGTTATTTAAATTATAAGTTTTGTTTATCAATTTATTTTTCTCGGGTAAAATATATCGTGTATTAGAATAAGGAACGGGCATAGAGCAAATGGTTCATCATTAATGATTGGCTAATACAGTCGACCCCCTATAACACTGTTGATTATTTCGTTTTATATGAATTCCATGTTGTACGAGTCACTTAAATTTTACAAATAGGTGTGCCGGGCTGTGAATGGCTCACGTATTTGTAAAATCTAAGTGACTCGTACAACATGGAATTCATATAAAACGGAATAATCAACAGTGTTATAGGGGGGGTCGACTGTACAAGTTTTTAACATACA